GGACTGAACATCCATCTCTTATCTCTTTGTTCCACTCGTCTAATTACATCCATGTTCTTGCCTTCATATATTCTCTCTCATCCGTATCCTTAATCTAAAGCTGCACGGTACAAAATGAAGAGTTCGTTGAACTTAAAAAATAACGAAGAACATGCAAATGGCTTTCCTGAATGCATTTACTTAATTATCATAAGTAATTATATTAAGTAAATGTCTTGACTGAACTGGAAATGTCAAACTGCCGTGACTTAAAATCTGACATCATTGTAATAACTGGCTATTTAGATTGAAGGTTCATGCAGTAATTTTTCCGCTCATTAAATAGACTTTTTTAAGATATATATTCCAGATATTTCAGTCGCCTATAAAATAAGTTTTATTTTATATGGTGCAGGTTTACCATTACACCAATTTGTGATCACATGACCAGCTGAATAATACTCAATTTAGTCCTGCAACCTCACTGTTAATGGACAATTTTACTTTTAGAATCAAATTTGATACATCCACACCACTAGGTGTCAGTAAAAGCCCAAAACAACAACATTAACGAAAAGTTACTGTTTTAAATTTATGTATCAATGCTAATTGTTTCCTCTATTTCCATAGCTTTAAATGTGCAATATTAAGTGCTTCATCATATCTCCTATGAGAAAAGATAGCCATGAAGTGATACAAGTAACTAACTGATCATTTTAATAGAACAAACTCAAATACCCATTTTTTTATTCTCTTTTGCTATGCTTTGACTTAAAGGGATCTTCAAGATATTATTATTTCATGTATCACAGTAGAGAGTAAGTCATGCCGGCTTGGAATAACATAAGGATAACAGAATTTTCATTTTTGGTAAACTATTCCTTTACAAAAAAAGTAAGCCAAAGAAAATCTTTGGTTATTTTCTTACAAGTATTTACTGATCTAAGATCATTTCAATGTGCCCAGAAGCTTCAAAGCTTTCTTCACTCGTTCATTGTCTGTTCATGATGTTTATTCCCTGTTCCATCGCTCCATCTGTGATTTCTTGCTCCTGTTCTCCCTTATCTCTTCCCCTCACCATAACCGCTGCACTCTCTTTCTTTTGACCTTCATGTTTTACACTGCTCTTTTCTATCACCATATTTCAGTCATATCACTCTCTCCTCACTCTATTTCATCCCTCTCTCTTTTTCCCTTCATCCATCCATTTATTTCTCTAGACCTTAGCCTTCAGGTTATCCTGTCCCTGATATCCTTGGTTTCATGTGTGTGTGTGTGTGTGTGTGTGTGTGGACATTTGTTTGTTTTGGGAGCAGAGCGGAGACCCCCGTGTGTTCCTGACTAGGGTTGCAAAAAGGTGGAAAATTTCCTGTAAATTTCGGAAACATTTCAGAAATGTTGGAAACTTTCCAGGATTTTTTGGAATCTTCCAGGGATTTTTGGAAGGTTTCCAGAAATTTACTGGAAATGTTCCACCCCTTTGCAACCCTATTCCTGACACACTGTTTCAAAGCACTGCAGAGTCATTTACAGTCGGCCATAACAAAGGGGGCTTACGGAAAATTTACAGGGCAATTACACCAGGCTAGCCTGTGAGAGTTAGCCCATGGCCAGTGCAGAAATCCAGACTGCCACAATTCCTCGCAAACACACACTCATCCTGTCAACCTGGCTCCTATCCCCAACAGCATCTTACATTCAACTGCTAGGGAAAAAATGCTTTATTGGTGAGAATTACATAACAGCATATTCTGCCAAGGCTTAAGACCCATTCTTTATCTCTCTCACTCACACACATACACACATGCTGGTGCAGAGAATGGCTTTTTGTTGCTGAGATTATGAATATACAGCAGGCTTCAAATGTCTGAGACCACTGAAATTGCTTCTGTTTAGCCTTTTTCTAATTTAATATTTTTTTTCCATTACAAATTATATTATCAGCATAACAGTTTGAATGAAACGTTGAATTGAAAATTGAATTTAATGACTTTCAGAATGTCTAAGTATTTATACTGTATGACCCCCTTTCGCTTTAATGACAGCAGCACTCAGGCTGCATGAACTCCACAAGTTTGTTTAAAACCTGATGATCATGTTCTCCAGAATTATCTAAAGCACATATTCTGCTTCACTGGATGAGCATCTGACAGTCTGTACAAAGGAGTTTTGGAACAAAAGTCACTAATTTTTTTGATTAGTAACCTAGAAATAGCGTAGAATCTTAAATATTGTAGGGAAGTTATAAAAAGTACACATATAGTATACTCACGTATGGCGATATATACTGAGCAAATCTCAACTACTTGATTGCTTGTATTGTCGCAAAACTATATTATCACCCAGATGTAATCTGCTAAAAGCAACTATAAGGCATAAATATATTAAGATATTCTAAACATTTACATCATGATTTTCTGTAAAGCTGCTTAGAAACTGTATTTTGAAAAGCGCTATGCAAATAAATTGATTAGACATATACAAATTCTATTCTATATCAAGAAGCTGATTTTTACTTTCATGTTATGACCAATAAATTGCAGATTTTATAATTGAATAATAAAATCAATAATTTTTAAATGCTACAAGTGAATTTAGGCATCACAACATTATAATGTACAGCATGGATTTTCATTTGTAATTATTATTATATAAATAAATAGTGTTTTTTAAAGATGAACTTCAATGTTAGACGATGGCAAACGTAATCTCAGTGTGACCACAAGCACCTAAAATAACTTATCAGATATTTTCGACAGATAACCAATGTATTGTGCATCTTTAAATAGTTCTTATTTATTTTACATCAGAACATGTATTTATTTCAGGTTTGAATTAGACTGAGGACTTCTGCTTCTGCTGACAATGTGGCCCAGCACCCCAGATGTGATGTTATTAAAAGGCAGAGGAAAACAGCAAGAGAAGTCTGAAGTATTGACAGACTGTCATATCAACCTGAGGTAGTGAGTCACCGAGAACAGGAGCAACAATGTCCTTGCTGAGTTATAAGTGCACATACTCTGGGAAAAACAGCAATTACACCATAAAATGGCCAATCTCGGGTTTCCTTGAGGTTCCTCTTGAATACATGTTCTCTTTAACTGTAAAAGTCCCTGAGTGAATTTGAGGTTATCCTCCATAAAGCCACTGTCATATCTCCTTCCTTCATTCTTGCCTTTCTGTGTCCCTACAGAGTCTGTATTTTTGCTCATTCGTCCGGTTCTCCTCATTGTCATACTGCCGTTTCCTTCCTCCCCAGTGTTCTGCACATTTTAATGGTTGTATTAACAATTCCCTCTCAACTTCAGGCTCTTGTTTTACCACTCTCCTCTCTTCCCTTCTTTCTACAAGATGTCTGTTCTCTGAGTTTTCCACTTGCCGTAACTCTCCTTTGCCTCTTCATCTTGCCCTTCCTATTTCGACCTTCATCTAAAGAGTTATACAAGTTTATTAGGGCTTACAGCGAGTAATCATGTTACCAAGTAGTCAAATTTCCCTTCTGTAAATAAGAGGTTGCGTAACTCGTTTCTGCTAATTTCCACATTTTTAAAATGACATAAATCATTTTGTGAGGTAAAATGCAAGAAACACATCAATTCAAATACAAATAAAATTTCCTATTACTAAAATGATATTTAAATTAATTAATAGTTACTTTCCTATTAGTCATGTTAAACATGCAGGTTTGTAGCATCACAGAACTCACCCCTCCATGGTGAGTAAATCATCATCCAATTGCATGAGTTTTATCACTGAGGAAATATGTTCATTTATTTTTAACAGATGTCCCCATCAGAAACAATTACCATCCGAATAGGGCGGCAGTCTAAATTTGGTCAATTCAAGAACATCTGGCTGTATTAACAAGTTCACCTACTCAGATTTCACAAATTGATTGATAAGTGACTTAGAAGCTGCATAATATTAAATTCAGGACACTCAAAAGATCATAATTATTAATGCTATGAATAATTATCTGTAAATGGCTGACATTAAAAGGCTATACTAGATGGATGAATAAATAAATAAATGCTAAAAGTGAATTCATCCTCACAACAACATTGAGATTTTGAGATCTGCTAAAGGTGACATTTATCAGTGTTATTAAATTATTGGTGTTTAAGTGAGCGTTAGATAACATTAAAGGTAATGGGAAATGAACATACAATTAAACATCCAAAAACATTATTCAGTTCATTGATAATTAAGAAGCAAAGTGTTTATCTAAAACGCTGCAGCAATCTAAATGTGGTCAATTCAATCGAATAGATTCCATCATCATCTACCCACTCTCACGTCGCTCCAAGCTCATATGCCCTTTTTCTGGTGGAACACAAAAAGGATCATTATCAAAATGTCAAATCTTTTCCATACAATGAAAATGCGGGTTGATCACTAGCTGTCAAGTTCTTGCTTTATTTCAAAAGAGCCTATTAGGTCGGGATTTGCACCAGGGTCTCTTTGCATCGTAAATGAAAACTCTATTATATCTTTCATTTACATATCCAACTGGTAATTTGTAAAACAAAACAAAAAAGTTATGTATTTTCTTGCCTAAGGCACTGAGTGAGTAAAGACTTCCTCTGGTGGCCTTTTTAAAAAGAGAAGGAAAAAAGAGCATGACACCACTATTTTCTATCTTTTTGTCTTTGGTTCACACTCCTCTCTGATCCCTCAATCATAAATCTGCCAGCTGGCTCGGCCTCCATTCTCCTCTCCCCGTGTCCTCTTTTCTCTTCACACACGCGCGCATCTCTTCACTCCTTCCCATAAATTATCTTCTTCTGAGGCGGAGTGAGAGACAAGGACAGAGAGAAGTGTCTAAGGAGACGGGGACCGGCTAAAATAAAGAGAAAGCGAGAGGCTGAGACCGAGATGAGAAAGATGAAGAGAAATGAAAGTAGCTTTGGGTTTCATAAGGTTACAGACAGAAAGAGAAAGATTAATTTCAAGGTGTGCTGAGGAATTACCGAGAGAAACGAGACAGATGGAGAAGTAAAGCAAGAAATGTGACGACTCACGGCAGAGGGAGAGCAGAACGAGGGATCGCAGCAGGAGGGATGGAGTGGAGGAGAGGAGGAGAGATCGCTGGCCTCGTCTCATTGTGTATTGAGGCTCGGCAGCTGATCAATGAGGCCTCTGTGGTTGATGACTGCACAATTCAGCACACGTTACACAGCTGAAACCGCAGCAAAATTACTACACTAAACACCAGTGCTCTTTAAGCGCAGGGTTAACTAAATCACTTTAGCGGCTGTGTTTTAATCCTCAAGCAACTAATATCACGTGCGATAACAACCAACCGAAGGCAGCTAATTAAAACAATCCTCCACGTTCAAGAGTAAAAAGAAACTCCTATCGTGTGGCAATTTCCACACTTAACTTTCCCGTCAAACTACTTATTAGCACTCAAAGACTAAACTCGAACGTTGCGAACACTAATGGAGTAGTCGCTTTTAGATAACATCATACTTGTTATGCAAAAGGCTGTTGTGTTTATATCTGAAACGGTAGCCGGCTAACCACATCACAGATTTGAATCCTACAAAAGCTTGTTTTTCTCCTCACACTTTTGCGAGGTTTTGGTTTTGCGAGTTTGTTTTTCTCTTTCGTGATGAGGCAGAGCCTGCTGAGGTTCACCTCATCATAACACCGTGATACCGCAAACACAGTCTGGCTCGCTGAAACAATCATAAATCAATGCGCTATCTAGTCTGCCAACTGTTTTCACCAGATTTGAAATGAGTATTTAAAATGTAAGAAGTTAAACAACCACATTTGTGTGACTTTAGAAAGGGCTGCACGCAACAATGGAAGTACAGACAGGCGATCGAAGATGTTTTGCGTCATACCAAATCTATAACTAATCTGGCATGGAATTGAAGTTGAGATTGCATACCACACATCTATGTATGAAATATTAAAAGGTTTTGCTCTAAAACACTGAAAAACATGTGCAGTAGGAACTTGAAGAACTGGCTCAGAAGTCCAAAACGATCCCTAACAAAGAGCTATGTGTTATCGCACCATGAGCGCAGGTGTCTTAAAGCCCAGAACAGCCAATCATACTAGTGTTCTAAGCACACCGTGATGCTGAGCACAGCCGGGATCCTCACTAACACACACACAGTGATTGGCAGAGCTGATATTCACTGTGTGGGAGCACAACTTCAGATCTGAGCCTCAGGTAACTGCCTGATTCCATTTGATTTTCCCCAAAGCCATCACACAACTTCCCCTACTTCCACCAAGGTTGAGTCAAAGTTAATCCATCGAGCCTCAGGTAACTGCCTGATTCCATTTGATTTTCCCCAAAGCCGTCACACAACTTCCCCTACTTCCACCAAGGTTGAGTCAAAGTTAATCCATCTCCTTTCCTTTCTTCCTTCTCTCTTTTTCTTGAGCTGTCCATCGGTGAAAGGTCCTCTGATTCCTTCAACTATTGTCTCTTTTATTTCTCGAAGTCCAAAACTCATTGAGTTATCTATGATGTTTGTATAACCTCTCTTGAAAGTGCACAGACACAGTTTGGTAGAGAACCCTGGTATAAATACTTGAGTGTGTGCGTGCTGGCAGATGCATATCCCACATATCATTATTTTGGTAAAGGGGAGGGTGAGAGTCCACAATAGCACTCATTCAGAAAGCAAAACAGTCAGTCAATCAAAGAGCTTCACTGTCTTTCAGTCTCACTTCTACAGTTGGTAGTGTTTTGCTAAAGCTCTCTGGGTCATCAGCTTCTTTCTGATCAGTCTTTATCTGTCTGGCACACAGAGAGTGTTCACAAAGTCACGAGGGGATGTTCTAAATAAATGAGTCTTGTTTTGCGACATGCTGTACATTCGGTACTATACTAAGCTACGTGCGCATAAATGCATGAATCTGTGTGTATTCATGTGTGAATAGTATCCAGTGTGTGCACAGGGGACTAAGAGAGGATAGCAAGATTGTGTGAATGTGGACAGACTAGTCAATTAGTTGATTAATTCAAAGGAATTCAATCCAGGTTCTGCATTAAAAAAAAAAAAAAACATCATCCATCCATACATTCATCTACCTGTTCATCTACCTACCCATCCATTCATCATCCTATCTAGTCAGCTACACATCTATCCACCTAACCATCCATCCATCCATCATCTACCCATCTATCCTACCTATCCATGCATCCACCCAAGCTATCCATTCACCTATGTACCTATCCCCCTACTTATCTATCCACCTATCCACCATCATATCCATCCACCTACTTAACCATCTACCTACCCATCCATTCATCCACCCATGTACCTATTCACCTTATCTACCTACCTATCCACCATAGCCATCCATCCATCCAACAACCTTTCTACATACCCACCTACTTACCTACCTACCCATCCATCTACTTATTTACCTACCTATCCATCCACCCACCCACCCATCTATTCACCTACCTACTATCATCCATCTACCAACTTACCTATCCATCTATCTATCTACCTACCTATCCATCCACCCATCTATCCACCTACCTACTATCCATCCATCTACTTATCTACCTATCTATCCATCCACCTACATACTAGGGCTGCACGATTATGACAAAAATCATAATTGTCGATTATCCCCTTGAAATTGTAATTGCGATTATTAATTACGATGATCACAATTTACATTAAATGATGTTTATACCATTGTTTTGGTAAATCTTCCCACATAGTGAGGTAGATATGTGGGGGCGTGTTAGAACGAGCCGTTTTAGGTAGGTGTGGCTGACTCTGAAATTTTATAAAGAATATCTCTTTGGATTTGAGACTTTAGTCTTTGCAACTTTACAGATCTTCTTTATGCACCAAGAGCTTGTAACACTCCAAAGAGAAAGGAAAAATTGAAATCGCATCATATGACCCCTTTAACTGAAAAACCGTTAGTGCTTTTCTATAGTATTAAGCCTCAAATGTCAAATATACATGGATTGGTTTCTTCTTTAAATAATAAAAAAGTAAAAATATGAATGGTATTATAATGTTATACTAAAACTAAAACAATGGAAAAACCCTTAAGATAACATGTAAAAAGAAAGAACATATCTTAAGCGTGCAGAATAACATAAGTGCACTTTGAACGATTAATTGCCACTTTAAACGATTACGTAATTGTGGCATCCATAATTGTAATCGCGATTAGAAATTTGATTAATTGTGCAGCCCTACTACATACTATCCATCCATCTACCAACTTACCTATCCATCCATCAATCCATCCACTTACCTATCTACATATCCATCCACCTACCTATACAATCCATCCATCTACCAACCTACCTACCCACCTATTCATCCATCCATCCACCTGCTTATCTACCTACCAAGTACTAATCCACCTTATCTACCTACCTAACCATCCATCCATCAAACAACCTTTCTACATACCCACCAACTTATCTACCTACCCATTCACCCATCCATCTACTTATCTACCTACCTATCCATTCATCCACCCACTCATTCATCTACTTACAAATCCATCTCCCTATCCATCCATCCATCTAACTACTACTACTGTATATACTGTATAAATATACAGTATGTGTATGTGTATGTTGGTAACACTAACACAACTAGCTGACTATTTTTCTGGATGACTCCTGACTACATTCCTACACAGCCACGTCCATCGGTTTAAAAAATTGTCATTTTTGTTGAAGCACAAATGTCATTTAATTTAATCTTCTCACACTTATTATGCTTTATTACTGCTGATGCGGCTGTGTGCGTATTCATTACAGTTGTGTGCAGCACGAGACTGTGTCCACAGTCCACTTTCCTGTTCCTCTATTCTCATTTGCATCCCAATCATTTCATTTTTCACTGGCATCACACCAGACCAAATGTTGCCAAAGCACTTAAGGGACACGAGTTAACAGTTGCATGAGGGTAATGTTAAAAACTCATGAATGCCTCATACACACTCTGACTGCTTGTGATACCGTAGACATTAAGGCTCTTAAAACTTAATCCAGCACCAAAGGTTCGGTCCAGGAAAGCCCGAGGCTGCAGGTGGGAAGGTGGGTGTCCGTGGGTGCAGGAATCCAGGTGCATCAGCAGAAAAGGTGCAGGGTATTTTTGATGCACTGATCCTATGTTCTGCTTATCACAGATTAAATTTGCGTTTAGTCCTTCAGGCTATGTAATAATGCGTGTGGGTGGGGGAGTGGTGAATTTAAGTCTCTTGAAGGAGAAGGAGGGCGTCGAGTAAGAGCGAGAGAGAGCGAAACGAGTGCGCATGGCCCTGAGTGTGTGTGGAAGACTTTCTTGGCACTCATTCTCGCTCTCTTTTCTTCTGAGTCTTGTTGTTTGTTAGTGCCAGGCTTTTATGCCAAGCCGGCAGCCATTACTCAATCAGACAGCTTCCTGTGAGCTCTTCTCATTAAAACCTCACACGAACTCTAAACCTATGAGCACAATTATCACCCTTTATACAAACACACACACAAACCCGGAGGCGCACGCACACGGTCGACTCACAACGAAAATACAGACAAAACAGAAATCCAAGTCCTGCCAAAGTCTCAATTTGTGGGATGCTATTAAAGCACTTGGAGATGAACTAACCCCAGTCACCCCCTACACACACGCTGTTTACAGCAATGAACAGCTACAGTAAAATTCCCCCTCTAAGGGCAACAACACTGTAACACCTGGTCTGAACTGAAAGCTCCGAATCGTTTCCATTATAATGAAGCTGTCAACACGGAAGCTCAGTTTCTTTTAAAACAGAAAAAAAATTATCAGATTATAGTTTTATAATTAAACAGTGATGAACTGCAATTTAAAAAAATTAAATATTCTCTTAAACTCACCGAGGTTGCATTTATTTGAAAATAAATAAATACATAAAAACAGTAATATTGTGAAATATTACAATTTAAAATTACTTTTTTATTCTAAACATATTTAAAAAATTTTAAGTTTTGTAGTGTCACATGAATCATGATCCTTCAGAATCATGCTAATTTGGTGCTCAAGTGATTTGACGCATTTCTGCAAAAAGACACAAACCAGTGAACAGTTTCTGTTCGAACTGCCCGAATGAACTGATTCACTAAAATGAATCGGACTGATTATCATTTGATCATCGCCTCAGCCCAGTAGGCTGTAAAGCTGCGTGTGAGATACAGTGTGACAAATATGATGTAGCTGTTTTGTCACGCTACATTGCTACATATTCCCCAGTAGCTTGTTACTGAAAAAGCGACATTATTAATATGATAAATTGCTTGTGATATTCCTAATTTGTAAGTTTGTTGGGATTCAAACATCTGGTAAATGACTAAATGTACTCTAAAAGATACTTAACTCTAAATGCAGCATCCTTACCAATAGTAAAACTGAGAAAAATCGCTTTTTGATTGATTTGATAAAGATTCAATTGATTTTCTACATAAGTTGTCATTTTGACAGTTGCCTTTGCACTGCAGTATGGTCAAGTTAGCATTGCTACTGTCAGCTATAAGTACACTTGTAAGCACACACACCTGCAGCGAAACAAACACAC